CTGTCTCTCCCCCACTCACTCTCTCTCAAAAATAAAGATTAAAAAAATGTTTTTAATAAAAAAACAATAAGTCAATCAGATTTTTAAAAATCTTTTTTGGAGGAGCGGGTGCCTGGGTAGCTCAGTCAGTCGGTTAAGCATCCAACTTCAGCTCAGTTCATGATCTCACAGTTCATGGGTTCAAGCCCCACATTTGGCTCCCTGCTGTTAGCTCAGAGCCTCTTTAGATCCTCTGTTCCCCGCCCCCCTTCCCCTCGCCCACTTGTTCTCTCTCCCAAAAATAGACATTGATGGGGCGCCTGGGTGGCTCAGCCGGTGAAGAGTCTGACTTCCGCTCAGGTCACGATCTCGGTTTGTGGGTTCGAGCCCCGCATCGGGCTCTGTGCTGACAGCTCGGAGCCTGGAGCCTGCTTCAGATTCTGTGTCTCCTTCTCTCTCTGCCCCTCCCCTGCTCATGCTCTGTCTCTCTCTGTCTCAAAAATTAATAAAACATTAAAAAAAAATAGACATTGAAAAAAAAAGTTTCATTGGGGTGCCTGGGTGGCTCAGTCTTGTTTTTGGCTCAAGCCAGAATCTCACAGTTCATGAGTTTGAGCCCCATGCTGGGCTCTGCACTGACAGAGGAGAGCCTCCTTGAGATTCTCTCCCTCCCTCTGTCTCTGCCCCTCTTCTGGTCAGTCTCTCTTTCAATCTCAAAATAAATAAATAAACACTTGAAAAAAAAATAAAAATCTTTACGTTTTAAAATTCTTTTTAAATTTCTTTAAATTCCATTTAGTGTACAGGGTAATATTAGTTTCAGGTGATAAATCAGACTTCAGTATGGAATTTTATGTAGTTCTGGTACATTCCACCACAAAGTAAAGGAGAAGCAAACTCCTTGTTTGAATTCTAGGTCTGATAGTTCACACTATGTACAAAAACTAACTCAAAATTTATCAAAGACCTAAGTATAAGAGGTAAAACTATAAAAGTCTTACAAGAAAATGTAGGTGAAAATCTGTGTGACCATTTATTAGTCGATACTTTTTTTTTTTTTAAGATTTATTATTAAGTAATCTCTCCACCCAATGTGATGTGTGAACCAAGAGCTGCATGCTCTGCCCTCTGAGCCAGCCAGGCGCCCCTAGGCAATAGTTCTTTACATATGACATCAAAAGCAAAAGCAATCAAAAAAATAATAAATTGGATTTCATCAAAATTAAAACTTTGGCGCATCAAAGGACACTATCAAGAAAATAAAAAGTTCAGGGGCTCGTGGGTGGCTCAGTCAGTTAAGCATCTGACTTGGGTTCAGATTATGATCTCACGGGTCATGAGTTCAAGCTCCACATTCAGCTCTCTGCTGTCAGCACAGAGCTCACTTCAGATCCTGTCCCCTCCTTGCATGTGCGCATGCTCAAAAGTAAATAAACATTAAAAAAGAAAAGAAAAGAAAGTAAAAAGTTCACAGGAAAGGGAGAAAATATTTGCAAATCATATATCTGATAAATATCCAGGATATGCAAAATACAACTCAAGTATAAAAAGAGAACCCAATTTAACATTTTTCAAAGGTATATAAATGGCTGATAGCACATGAAATGTGCTCAATATCATTAGTCATTATGAAAATACAAATCGAAATTACAATGAGAAGTCACTTCACACCCACCAGGCTGGCTGTAATTTAAAAAGTAGACAATGACAAATTTTGGCGATGAAGTAGAGAAATTGGAACCTTTATACGCTGCTGGTGGTGGTATAAAATGGTGCAGATGGTATGGAAAACAGTTTGGCAATTCCTCCAAAGGTTAAATAAAGAACTACCATGTGACCTAACAATTCTCCTCCTAGGTATCTACACAATAGAATGGAAAACATGTGTTCACATAAAAACTTGCACAAGAATATTCATAGCAGCATTATTCATAATACCTAAAAAGTGGAAACAACTCAAATATGTATCAAGCTGATGAATGTATAAACAAATGAGGAATATCCATATGGTGAAATATATTCAGCCATAAAAAGGAATTAAGTACTGATACGTGCTACACCATGAAAGCTCCTTGAAACTTCACGTTAAATGAAGAAATTGAGATGTAAAAAGCCACACAGCATAAATTCCATTAAAATGAAACATTCAGAACTGGCAAATTCTTATTTGCATATCTTCTTTGAAGAAATGTCTATTCGGGTCCTTTACTAATTTTTATTATTTTTTAAACATTTTTTTAATGTTTATTTTTGAGAGAGAGAGTATGAGCAGGGGAGGGACAGGGCGGGGGGGGGGGACAGAGGATCTGAAGTGGGCTCATCTGACAGCAGTGAGCCCAATGTGGGGTTTGAGCTCACAAATCATGAGATCACAACTGGAGCCAAAATCAGACACTCAACCGATTGGACCACCCAGGTGCCCGCTTTACTAGCTTATTTGTCTTTTTATTGTTGAGTTGAATTTTATATATTTTGGAAACTAGATGCTTATCAGAGATGGAATTTGCAAATGTTTTCTCCTATGAGTTGTCTTTTTGCTTTCTTGATAGTGTTCTAATTATGGTGTGCTAATTATTTCTGACCAAGGCCCCAGGAGAAAGGCTTTTTGCACTGGGCAAGCTCTACTTTCAATCAAATAAATGGAAGATTTCTAGTGGGATTTTTCAGTGATTTGTCAGATCAAATAATGACAGCTACCTGGGAAAGGGGCTTTGGAGGAGATAAGACACTGTCCTTCTTTCTCTGGGAGCTGCTAGGCTTCTGGTTTTCCCCATGATTTGGGGGACTGTTCGTTTACCAAACTACCAGGAACTAGGGAGAAAGAAGTAAAATAAGTCAAGTTAAGAATACTATATGGGTAGGAGTGACTGGCTGGCTCCAACAGTAGAGCATGTGACTCTTGCTCTTGGGGGTAATGAGTTCAAGTCCCATGTTGGGTGTAGAGCTTACATAAAAAAATACCACATGCGTCATAGGTTTTATGTTTTAACTTTTTAAAGAAACTGTCAAAAAAAAAAAGAAAGAAAGAAACTGCCATACTGTTTTCCAAAGTGGCTGTATCATTTTACATCCCCACCAACAATATACTTCCTCCCCAATACTTGTTTTTTGTCATTTTGATTGTGGCTATTCTAGTGGGTGTGAAATGGTGCCTTATTTTTTTGAGAAGTAAAATTGTCTTTATTTACAAGTGATATGATCATCTACATAGAAAACCCTATGGAATCTACAATAAAATTAACAGAACTAATTTGTAAATTTATCGCAGTTATGGGATATAAGATTTATATACCAAAATTAATTGTATTTCTATATGTTGGCAATCAACAATCAGAAATTGAAATAAAGAATACCATTAAATAGGGGCACCTGGCTGGCTCAGTCAGTGGAGCCTGTGACTCTTGATCTTGGGGTTGTAAATTCAAGCCCCAGGTTGGGTGTAGAGATTACTTAAAAATAAAATCTTAAAAAAATGCCATTAAACAGCTTCAAAAATACGAAATACTTAGGGAGAGTCTGACAAAAGATGTGTAAGAACTATAACCTGAAAATTACTAAACATTGAGAGAAATTAAAGAAGACCTAAACAAGTTGAAGGAAATACTGTGTTTATGGAGGTCACAGTGTGATAGTAGAAGGCCAAGGAGGATCTAGTCAAACACAGGTTTTACAAGTTGGGATTTAGAGTGTGCTTGGTTCTCAAGGGTAACAAAATTCCACATGTCGTCATGGTTTTAGTTGTTGAATAGAATGAAAATACAAGCGTATCAACTGAGTGCATCTTTCTGCTTCGTTTTTAAAAGACTGAGGAGGAAAGTGATAGATATCTGGTGGGTGGAATATGTGAAGTGGTATCTAAATGTGCTTTTCCATGTCGGCTTTTGCTCATGTTATATCCTTAGATCTTGGCATAATGCCTAGCGTATACTACTCATTCAGTAAAAGTTGTAGAAATAAAAAAGGATTAATATAGGGGTGCCTGGGTGGCTCAGTCAGTTAAGCATCTGACTCTTAATTTCAGTCAGGTCATGATCTTACAGTTGGTGAGACTGAGCCCCGTGTGGGGCTTTGCGCCGAGAGCATGGAGCCTGCTTTGGATTCTGTCTTTCCCTCTCTCTGTGCCCCTCCCCCCCAACTAATAAACAAACTTAAAAAAAGGATTAATATAGTTTTATATATGGTACATTTAAGGTGTCTCATTACCCCAAGTTAATGTTTTGGCCACTTATGGAGGGAAACTGAGTCAGAACAAGAGCCAATCCCAAACACTTATAGCAGTAAGTTGTATAAACAAGGAAAGATGCCAGATTTCTGTCACTGAGATATTTTCACTTGTGCTATGATACTTTGTTAGTGATGAGAATATGCTTCATTCATAAAATTTTTAAATGCTTTCTTTGTTTTAGGCACTGTACTGGTCACTGGGGATATAGCTTAAATAATACAGAAATCTTGCCCTCATGGCGTTTATAGTCTAGTGGGAGTTACAAACAAGTAAACAGGCAATTAATAAATAGCATGACAAATAATGTAATGGGGGAAGTACAGAATGATGTGAGAACACATGTTGGCAATCAACAATCAGAAATTGAAATAAAGAATACCATTAAATAGGGGCACTTGGCTGGCTCAGTCAGTGTAGTCTGTGACTCTTAATCTCGGGGTTGTAAGTTCAAGCCCCAGGTTGGGTGTAGAGATTACTTAAATACTAACATAAATTTATATTACTAATATAAATATATAAGCTATGACCTAAGGAAATAGGTGGTCAGGCAAAGTGTTCTAGGCAATTGGAACAGCATCAGCAAGTGCATAGAGATAAGACAAACCTTGAAAACTTAGGAAACGAATATTGTATAGGCTAGGGAAGTGAGGGCCAAATTCTAGAAGGCATTATAAGCCATTTTAAGGAGTTTCAAATTTGTTCTATGGGATGGGAAATCCTTGAAGAATGTTAAGCAGAGAAGTGACATGATCACACATGTAATTTTTTTAAAGTTTATTTTTTTTAGTAATTACTACACCCAGCGTGGGGCTCGAACCCATGACCCTGAGATCAAGAATCACATGCTCTTCCAACTGAGCCAGCTTGGTGCCCACACATGTGATTTTAAAATAGTACTCTGAGGGCAGCTGGATGGCTTAGTTGATTGAGTGTCTGACTCTTGATTTGGGCTCAGGTCATGTTCCCAGGGTCGTGGGTTCAAGCCCCACGCAGCATAGAGCCTGCTTGAGATTCTCTCTCCCTCTCTCTCTCTCTCAATCTCCCTTTCTCTCTCTCCCTCTCTCCTTCCCTCCTTCCTTACCCCTCTGCTCCTCTCCCCTGCTCACGATCTCTCTCTCTAAAGTAAAATAAAATAAAATAGTACTGTGACAGTGGATTGGAGGGGATCAGAATGAATTCAGGGAGACCATTTGGCAATGTAGTAATTTTGGTGAGAGAGTTGAGGGGACTTGAACTAGGGACAAAAATATATATTGGAGCTGAAGGAGAAAAATATCTTGGTTTCTGGCTTGAGATATGGGGTCAATGTTTGTTCCATCCATGGAACTAAAGGACTGTTGAAAACAGGTTTTGGGGAGAAAATGAAGCATTCAGTTTTGGATTTGCTAAGTTTGAGCTGTGTGTGGGTCAGCCTTGTCAGACTTCTTGTGTACTTCCAACCCTTGTGGAAATCAGGAGACATATCTTGGTTAGAGATAGAATTTGGAAATTATCAGTATATTGTTACTAAAGCTAGAAGTGTAGATGAGATTGAGATGGAGCAGCCAAGAGGTGGGAAGAAAGCCAAGAGAATATGGTGTCTCCATGATAGGTGACGAAAGTGGTAAAAAAACCAATGAGTAGATGTCATTGCCCAGGGAACAGGATGTGTGAGAAAAGAAAGCCTGGGACCAGAATCCTACATTTAAGAGACAAATAGAGAAAGAGGAACTGCCACTGAAATGGAAGGGACTGGGAGAATTTTAGGTCCCAGAAATCAGGAAGGGAGGAATAGTTGGCAACATTTTTACTCTAATATGTCAAGTAAGATACATATTGGGGCAGTCTGATAGAATGTGGGAACAAATGACATTAAGGAATTTATATTCCTTATATAAGGAATGATTACTTTAAGGAATATTATATTATTACTTTAAGGTTATATTACTTTAAGGTTATATTACTTTATATTATATTACTTTATATACTTTAAGGTTATATTACTTTAAGGAATAAATGAGTGATGAGAAAAAAAAGACTTAGTAAAGATAATGTCTTCAAGAGGTTTAGCTGTGAAGGAATGAGAGAAGGGGCAGTTGTATCTAGAATGGCACAGGGTTAAAGGAAAGTTAACCTGTTTTTCATTATGTTCTTTTGATTACCTTTCTTTTTAGGAATGTGATTTTCCTTTTTAGTATTATATCTGTTTTCTTGGCTTCATTTCATTTTGAGATGACAAGAATTGAAAATATGTACTTATTTAGCTTTTGCATTGTGCAGTTAATCCTTTGCCTGCGGTAAGAAAATAGCTTTACTGTCTTAATTAGCTAGATTATCTCTGTATAATTTTTCAGTGATCCTCTAGATAATGAATTCTCATTTTAATGTATTGCATCTTCTGTTTGTTTTTTAGATCATTCATCGAGATATAAAACCTGAGAATATTTTAGTATCCCAGTCAGGAATTACTAAGCTCTGTGATTTTGGTTTTGCACGAACTCTAGCAGCTCCTGGGGACATTTATACGGACTATGTGGCCACACGCTGGTATAGAGCTCCAGAATTAGTATTAAAAGATACCTCTTATGGAAAGTACGTATATTTTGGGATCCTGTCTGGCCTTTCCTGGCCATCTCTTTTTTTCCCTTTGTGTGTCTGTCACCCCTACTATTGACACCCTCTGCCTTCTGCTTCTGGGTTGGAGATAAGAAAGGGATGCCTCTAAAAAGAACAGATAGACCCCGTAGGCACCTGCCCTGCTAGATAATGGTGTTACCACGCTTGCCCTCTGCTGCTGAGTGGCCCCAACCCCAGGTGACCTGTGCTGACATCCCTCAGGTTGTATCCGTGCTTGCTTTAAGCTGTGCCCCCACCATGGCAGAGTGACGTCTGTTTCTCTTTAACCTCTACATTCTGCAAAGATTTCAAAATCATTTACCTTGCTCTGCTGGCATTACCATAGGAACTGCCAAGTTTCCTATTTTCCAGAATATGGCACCCTCTTTACAAAGTCTGGCAAACAATTTTTAGATTGTGCTGTTCTAGATACTTTAGAAAGTAGCATTGTCTCAGTCTTTTGTGAAACAGTAGAAACAGTACATGAAATGGCAATCTAATATATAAATAACAAATCTTGATGTGCATAAAGGGACCAAGTAGTCCAACTTAATACAAGAACTGGAGGTGGGGTGGGGGGCATGGATAATTCTCAAACACCTTTTCTAGAAATCATTATTCTGTTTTTACAATAATATCTAACTTTAATGAGTATTTACTTCGTGGCCAGGAACTGTTCTAAATGCTTTACATGCATTAAACAATTTTATTTCCTCAATGACTCTGTGATAAGGTGCTGCTGTTATCATCCCCATTTTATTTTATTTTATTTTTAAAAATCTTTATAAATGATAATATGGATATTTTATTTAAAATATTTTTTATTTGACTGTAGTTGAAGGGCATCTGGCTAGCTCAGCCTGTGGACCATGTGACTTTTGGTCCCAGGGTTGTGAGTTCAAGTCCTGTGTTGGGTGTAGACATTACTTAAAATAAAATCTTAAAAAAAAAAAAAGAAAGAAAATAGTTGACACACAATACTACATTAGTTTGAGGTGTACAATACAACAATTCAATATCTGTTTACATTATGCTATGCTCAGTACAAATGTAACTACCATTTGTCACCTTAAAATACTATCATAATATCTATTGACTATATTCCTTATGCTGTGCCTTTTATTCCTGTGACTTAATCATTTTGTAACTGGAAGTCTGTATCTCCTACTACCCTTCACCCATTTTGCCCATCCTCCTCATCATCCCCATTTAAAATGAAAGGATATAAAACACAGGTAAACTAACTGGCCCAAGGTCATTCCTGAGTACCTTTTCTTTAAAAAAAAATTTGTTTTAATGTTTATTTATTTTTGAGAGAGAGAGAGAGACAGAACACAGCTGCGGAAGGGCAGACAGAGAGGAAGACACAGAATCTGAAGCAGGCCCTAGGCTCTGAGCTGTCAGCACAGAGCCTGACGTGGGGCTCATACTCACAAACTGTGAGGTCATGACCTGAGCCAAAGTCGGACACTTAACCGACTGAGCCACCCACGCACCCCTAAGTACCTTTTCAACTATACTTCCCACTGATCCCTACGTACACCATCTCTGTGCCTCAGTTACTTTATCTGTATAATGGAAATAATAATAGGACAAGCTTCATAGGTTTGTGGTGAGAATCAAATGACTAAATGAATGAAAAAGATTAAAATATAATAAATACTCAATAAGTGTAGCCCCATAAGATCTGTGTCCCAGTTTTACCCTCTCTTCATGATATCTTAAATTCCTTTTCTCATGCACCTGCTATTCCTAACCCTTGCCCCCAAATCATATCCCCTTCTAAATCTTCTTGTTCATTGTGTGTAAATTTTGTGCCAGTTAATACTAATATGATCTAGTTCTAGCTTTTAAAAAAAAAATGCTTCCTGGGGCGCCTGGGTGGCTCAGTTGGTTAAGCGTCCGACTTCGACTCAGGTCACGATCTCGAGGTCCGTGAGTTCGAGCCCCACGTCGGGCTCTGGGCTGATAGCTCAGAGCCTGGAGCCTGGTTCGGATTCTGTGCCTCCCTCTCTCTCTGCCCCTCCCCCGTTCATGCTCTGTCTCTCTCTGTCTCAAAAATAACTAAACGTTAAAAAAAAATTAAAAAAAAAATGCTTCCTGCTGAAAGATAAGTTCCTTGAGAACAGGTATAATCTCTTGTATTCCACAGAGCCAAAATTGGTGACTTGTATGTGGTAAATTTGGCTTCTATGGGACTTCACGTTATGTCTGAAATAAATTTACTAGTGCATCTTTTTTTTTTTTTTTAATTTTTTTTCAACGTTTTTTATTTATTTTTTGGGACAGAGAGAGACAGAGCATGAACGGGGGAGGGGCAGAGAGAGAGGGAGACACAGAATCGGAAACAGGCTCCAGGCTCTGAGCATTCAGCCCAGAGCCCGACGCGGGGCTCGAACTCACGGACCGCGAGATCGTGACCAGGCTGAAGTCGGACGCTTAACCAACTGCGCCACCCAGGCGCCCCACTAGTGCATCTTTTAAAAAAAAAAATCGTTTTATTGTGAAACAACACAGAGATACAAAAAATCCAGCACAACAAATGTACAGTCTTAGCAACAGATCAAAAAATAGAATTTTGGAGTTAAGGATTAGCTGAAATAGGTGAAGGGGATTAAGAAACACTTATGATGAGCAATGAGTAGTGTATAGTGTATAGGATTGTTGAATCACATTATACACTTGAAACTAATATATATTAATTACACTTGAATAAAAAAATAGAATTTTTCTGCCCCCCTGAAGGCCCTCCATGTTCCCTGTTCCAATTTTATCACTCTCCCTTATCCCAAAAGTAACCATCTTGTTGATTTTTATTATATTCAGTTCCTCGTATTTCTTTACAGTTTTATCTACTTCCATAAGTGCATCTACTTAGTTTAATCTACACTTTTGTTACAACAATTTTTTTGAGATATGAGTCACATACCATAAAATTCACCCATTTAAATTGTACAGTTCAGGGGCACCTTGGGTGGCTCAGCTGGTTAAGCGTCTGACTTCAGATCAGGTCATGATCTCACAGTCCTGAGTTCAAATTCCACATCGGGCTCTGTGCTGACAGCTTGGAGCCTGGAGACTGCTTTGGATTCTGTGTCTCCCTCTCTCTTTGCCCCCCACCCCCTCCCCCCCCGGTCATGCTATATCTCTCTTTCTCAAAAATAATAAAAAACATTTTAAAAATCTTAAAAAAAACACTCATCACCTAACCCAAGATCATCTAGATTTTTTCCTATATTATTGTCTAGAAGTTTTATAGTTTTGTATATAATTTTTATATCTGTGATCCATTCTGAGTTAATTTTTGTGAAAATGTTAAGATCTGTGTCTAGCTTCTTTTTTTCCCCCATATATAGATGTCTAGTTGTTCTAGTATCATTTGTTGAAGATTTTCCTTTCTCTGCTGGATTGTCCTTTCTCCTTTGTCAGTTTAAATCATCTTTTCTCCTCTGTCAAAGTTTAGTTATTCTTGTGAGTCTAGTTCTGGACTCTATTCTGTTCTCTTCATCTGTTTATTCTTTCACCAATACCAGTGTCTTGATTATTGTAGCTTTATAATATGTCTTGAAGTTAAGGGGTATCTTTCCTCTGACTTTGTTCTTCAACATTGTGTTGGCTCTTCTGGTCTATTGCCTTACCATATTGTTAAAAACCAAAATTCAGCTGAGTAAAAGTTAAAGATCTTAATGGCTCGGAGTGCCTGGGTGGCTCAGTCGGTTGAGCGTCTGACTTTGGCTCAGGTCATGATATCACCGCTTGTGGGTTCAAGCCCTGCATCAGGCTCTGTGCTGATAGCTCAGAGCCTGGAGCCTGCTTTGGATTCTGGGTCCCGCTCTCTCTGTGCCCCTCCCTCGCTCATGCTCTGTCTGTCTCTCTCTCTCTCAAGAATAAATTTAAAAAAACATTAAAAAAATTTCAGGGGCGCCTGGGTGGCGCAGTCGGTTAAGCGTCCGACTTCAGCCAGGTCACGATCTCGCGGTCCGTGAGTTCGAGCCCCGCGTCAGGCTCTGGGCTGATGGCTCAGAGCCTGGAGCCTGTTTCCGATTCTGTGTCTCCCTCTCTCTCTGCCCCTCCCCCGTTCATGCTCTGTCTCTCTCTGTCCCAAAAATAAATAAAAACGTTGAAAAAAAATTTAAAAAAAAATTTCAATGGCTCTATTCAACAATTTGTGAATCAGGCAGCATTCCATCTAGCAGATAGAAAGGCACACCAAAGGGCTGTACAAAATAGGAAGACTTACATAGGCAAAAGAGGGCAAGGCAAGGAAGTTACTAGGAAAGAATAGATTATTTTTCACCTTCCTTTAGAGAATGGCAGGGTTCTGTCTGGCAGAAACTCAGGCAGCATTCAGGAGTGCTGATCAGGTAATTCCAGACTGACTAGTTTAATATCCCATTTCTGGGATAAGTTGAAGCAAATTAAGTTAAGTATTAAGCTTCAGTTTGGTGATGTGGGCTTAGCACAAGTGACTCAATTTTGAGCATGGTGTCTCTTTTTTAAACTATGTATAAACAATATAAATTTAAATATTACTTAAATTTTTTAAATATTTATTTATTTTTGAGAAAGAGAGAGAGAGACAGAGAACACGCATGCGTGAGTGGCAGAGGGGCAGAGAGAGAGGGAGACATAGAATCCAAAGCAGGCTTCAGTCTCTGAGCTGTCAGCACAGAGCCCAACATGGGGCTCGAACTCACGAACCACGAGATAATGACCTGAGCTGAAGTTGGAGGCTCAACTGACTGAGCCACCCAAGTATCCCAACAATATAAACTTTAGAATCAGTTTGGTGGTATCCAAATTGGATTTTGACTGGGATTGCACCGAATCTATAGATCAAGTTGGGAAGAACTGAAATTTTGACAATATTGAGTCTTCCTATTCATGAATATACAATATTTCTCCATTTATATAGATCTTCCAGGATTTCTTTACTGAATTTTGCTTTTTTCACTTGAGAGTTTATCTTGGAGATCACTTAAAAATTTTTTTTAAATATTTATTTATTTATCTGTTCACCCAGCATGGGGCTTGAAGTCATGACCCTGAGATGAAGAGTTGCATGCTCTTTCCCCTGAGCCACTCAGGGGCCCCTCCTGGAGATCACTTTATTTTTGTTTAATTTTTATTAAAAATTTTTTTTAAAATATTCATTTTGAGAGAGAGCGAGCGAGCAAGCATATGAGCAGGGGGAAGAACAGAGAGAGGAGAGAGAATCCGAAGCAGTGGCACAGGGCTTGATTCCATGAGTTGTGAGATCATGACCTAAGCTGAAATATATAGTCGGATGCTTAATTGATTGAACCACCCAGGCACCCCAGAATCACTTTATATTATCACATACCTTATCTTTTTAAACAGGTGAATAATATTTTGTTGTGTATTATACAAAATTTTACATAGCCTTTCTTCTGTTGATGGATGTTTAGGTTGTTTCCATTTTTTTTCTACCACAAATAGTGCTTATTATTTATCTTTTATCATTTATCTTTGTGTTCAAGTGTGGGCAGATCTTTGTATAAATTCCTAGGAATAAAGTTGGTCAAAAGTATGTACATTTTTTTTTTCCTTTTTTTGAGAAGGGGAGAGAGAGAGAG